TAGATTCAAGATACATAGTCTACAGCTTATATATTAAACGTTGACTTTCTTTGGCCAAGGAAGAAGCTATAAGTGCATGTGGGAAAGCTAAGTTGTTGGAGCTTTAAGTGCCGAGACCTAACATATAGTCCGTCCTGGGTTAGGTTAGAGAGTACTAAAATACGCTAAGGTTTAGGTCAGTGAACTATACTATATATATACTTCTGGAATTTGGCGTTACAAAATAAAAAAAATGTAAAGAAAATGTGACTGGATATATGTCAATGTTATTGCAGTGATAAGATATATGTCAAATCAAAACTTATTGAAGAAAACACAGCAAGTGTTATTGTCTCATTTGGTGACGAAATAGGTGACTGGAGCATCGGGTTTACAAATCGATGTTTTTAATGAAATCTGGTACAAATTGATGTTACTCACCGGCCAATCTTCCACTGGTACACTCCCAAAAACACTATTCTTTGGCTTAGTTTTGTGGTTACTTGGCTAACTCTGCGGGTAAAACACCGAATCTGCAGCAATTGAAGTACTAGAGAGGAGGATCAAACATAGAGATGGTGCATCTTTCTTGTGGCATTTGCTGGTATAAGTCATTTATATGTCGAGATAAGTTGATTCAAGATACATATTGTCTACAGTTTATATATTAAACGTTGACTTTCTTTGGCAGGAGAAGAGTTATTCCGTGGAAGGCAAGGAAGAAGCTTTAAGTGCAGGTGAGAAAGCTAAGTTGTTGGAATCTTCATATTTCAAGTTTGCTTGATTGCCCAAAAACGGCGTTTTGTCTTGTTGTTGTTATTTTAGACATGATTTTGCGCTTTGGTGAACAAGTCTGAATCGTTATGGTCATTGGTCAATGTAAAAGTTGACGTTGACATTCTATGTAAATTTGCGGTTTGACTAAGAATAATAATAAATTGAAATTTACATTCTACTGACTTTATTTATATAAGTATTTTATAAGATGTTTATGAAAAATTCAATTAAAAGACCATTAATGGATCTTGAAGCTGTATGCTATAGTTAGATATGTTGTTTAATTGTGACATGGAAACATGTCTACACATTAGGGGACTTCTAATGTCCAACGTAGCCCATTCTTTAATTTTATTTTTCAACACGAAACTTTTTAAACTATTGAAATTTTTGTGTTAAGTATTTTTGTTTCTCAATAATATTTTTACTACACGAGAGTATTTAAAATACAAAATTATATACCACATTGTTGATCTTTTAAATTTCAATCGACTAGACTTTGGGTGTTAATCACAAATTATATGGAAAATGTGTAATTCCATTAATAAGGCTAATTCTTGATGAGTTTTTCTCCAACATATCTTATAAAAGACACATAACAGCCAATATTTTTTTCGTAATTCATATTTAACAAAATGATCTTAAGATTTGTAAATTACATGCATCACCTAAACAACAAGATGTGAAACTTCCATGAATAAGGTTGTGATTTTCTCTCCAACATAACTTATAATATACACCAAACTAAAGTCTAATATTGTTCTGTAGTTTACTATAAACAAAATAGTGTTAAGATATGTAGTTACATGCGTCACCTAAAAACATTGAAATTTGCCTACACAGCTGTGTTCTAGTGGTAAGGGAGAATTGGGGAAAGGTTGGAAAGAACTAACCCATGTTCGATCCACCCTGGAAACAAAAATCACATTTGTGTGGGAAGTCTGGGCTTGGGCCTTGGCCCAAACAATTCACATGGTATCCGGGATCAGGCTAACTGAATACCCCCGGACATTAGTCGGAAAGCATTCCAAACTTGGGGTTAGGCAGTGTGGTAATCCAACACCTAGGTGTTGGCAACGAATCCACATGGTAGCACTTCGGTGCGTTCCCCCGGAACTGACCGGATCAGCCGATCGGATATATAAAAAAAAAACATTGAAATTTCATGAATTCCAGAAAACAAACCATATATTTGGTGTGGGTGGTACATATAAAGACCGATTCTCTCAAAGGCCTACGTCGGCCACATAAGCCAACAATTGGATAAAATATAATTAAAGAACTCAACTATGACATGTTGACAAAAAAATCCGATATTAATACTTTCCTCATCCAGAAAGATATGAGTCACACGTATTTAACAAGGTGTTGTGTGTATCTATCTATTATATATGCAACTCTTTAGAACATGGTCGAATCCTAAATTATTCTAGACAAATATTCATAAGTCTACTTCATGACTTTCTTGGTTTTATGGAAAAGAGACAATTTTACACAATAAGCCCACGCGCATGCATTATTTACCTCCTCATAAATCTTCTCTCATTCTAGTCTTTTTCTTATTAGTTTAAAGAGAATATGCATAAACTAACCATGGATCTCAAATGAATTTAGAAATTAATCATGATGTCAGAACACACACACTCTCCTCAATTACAATTACTCTTATACTCATTTATTTGTTACATGTTATTTTTAAAAATCACACAAACACTCACAACGCTTAACGACTACGACACCGCATTCTTCTCCTTCTCGCGACGGGAGAACGACGGCCACAATAAAATCATTGTTACTAATTTTATCTACCATTATCATCATCACCCACCGTATTCTTCTCCTTTTCGCGACGGAGACTACAATAAAATCACTGTTACTATTTGCGACTACGACCCCACCATCACCACTCGCGACGAACACCACCACCGCTTCTTCCAAAACCATCATCACCTCCGCCGTAACCACCTTCCTCACGGCTACCACTACCATTGTATACATCTGATCTGTCAAAGATCACTCATTTTCTATATTTTGGTCATGGTTGTTTTGAGAATGAATAGATTTTGTAAAATTTCACGTTCGTTTTTAATATTAATCGATATTTTTTTGTTTGACACGTTATTATAATATATATCATGTTATTAATTTGTTTCGCACGGTTTCTTTTCAAATGAAATGATATTTATTTATATGACATGCTATTTTTACAAAATGTACGTTATAAAATGTCACTTTTTTGATAAATATCGTGTTATTTTAATATGTTCACGCGATTTGTTGAGATATCTCAAATCTATGACATTTTCTCCGCATAAACTTGCTCATGGTTCAACTTTTCAAATGAAATGATATTTGTTCATATAACATGCTATTTTGAACAACTGTATGTTATAAAATGTCACTGTTTTTATAAATATCATGCTATTTTGAAATTTCTCAAATCTATTTTTTTTTTTCCGCATAAGCTTGCTCATGGTTCAACTTGCAAGGACATTTTTGTATTTTAATATGCCGTCATATGGTTATTTACCTATAAAAAAACTGACAATGGTTAGTTTCTTAATTTTGACTCAAAATTTGGTTACTTTGTAATATTACCCTAGTTTAAATATATAATATGAACATTCTTTTCACAACATATATGTTGTGAGTGATGAGCAGATAAAAAGTGGTTGCTACGTGGGCGGAGAAGAAACGTAATTATTCATCCATTCAACAAATGAAATATATTACATGCGGTTCAACATTAAAAAATAAAAAATAATAGATTTTACTGTTGCGGCTCAAAACTATGAGTAAAACAGAAGATCCGTATGGTACAGTAGGAACGCTTCCAATTTGATGTGTTTTGTGTGCCACAAATGTGGTTCTTTTATTATTGATATTTTAATATTGAAAACTATAACAAAATCACAAATGTTAATTTTGGTAACCCATATAAATATTTTCACATTTAACTGAAAAACTACATATTTAAAATAACCATAACCGATGAACTAAACCAAACTAAACAAAGAAAAGAGAATAGAACATTGAAATATTTAATTTTGAAATTACAGATTAACCAAATCTTAAGTTATTCTAACAAAAAATGGAGTAATAATTTAAATTACTAGAATTACGTATATTATATATTTTTATTTGTATTACCTAAGATCTCATCCCTTTAAATTATTTATCATAATGGGTAGTATCTAAAATTTAAGAAAATTTAAGAAAAATACATGGACATATCACATATATCATTTTTTTATCCACTAACATAGATAATGCTCCACAAGCACACACATCGTTTCACCAACCTAATAGCACCAAAATATATAGTATCTTTTAATTGTATAGTTTTGATTAGTTTATCTAGAACAATTTCTGGTTTTATAATATACTATATTAACTACTATTAATTGAAAATATGACACTGCAAATCCAACTTAAGTTTACTTCAATGATTGAAGAATAATTTTGAAAATGCTTGTAGTAAAACCTCTTAACATGTAAGTGATAGTAAAATTTCTTACAAAAGGATGATCAAAGAAAAGAAAAAAAAAAAAAACATTATTCTTCCTCAACAATAAAAACTTGTACCTAATGGCTAAACATAAATAAATCTAGTGCCACATAACATAAGACAAGTGGAATACAAAGTAAGGTAAAAAGTTGGTGTTAGTTATGATTTAGTGATGGAGCATATGGTCCAGGGATGCCATTAGGAGAGTCCCACACTCATGAATTTCCTCTCTTGGTCTTCCTTGCGGGCAAGGGTTTATCCATGCTTTTATGGCATAGGGACACTATTAATTTTGGGGAAAAGGGCATATACTTTTATCTTTAAAATTTCGTTTGAATTTTTTTTTATATATTTTTCAGTAATTTAGCTTTATATCGAAATGTTTATACCACATAATGCTTATAATCTTACCGAAAATCACATACTTATTTATCAAGTACTACGTTCATAAAGGAACTCGAGTTTAGTTAGAAGATTTTTTTTTAGAGAATACAACACTTGATAGTTCGAATTTGATCTAACATAAAAGAAAATGCATGCATAAATAAATAATTTATGAGAAATTTTTCTTAACGTTTTGAGAAATTAAAAGAATTATAATGGAAAAAGTAAAAAGTAACATGATACTTTATTGGAAAATTTTGTTACAAATCTCAATCATAATTTATTTGTTATTTCAAATGTATGTACCACATCTTTTTTATTATTTCAAATGAATCTTTAGTACTCAATATGGACTCCTAGCTAGTATTACATTTTTTTATGAAGAATCTGAATCAAACATTTTGAATGATTGGAAGATATTTTTAAATGAAAACTGTTCCAACTGATAAAAGTTTTCGCTAAGTCATTGTTAGTGATTGATAGATACAATTTTTTCATCTTCTCCTCTAAGTTTTAACACCAATCATAAGAGAGCGATTTGAGGAGGGGAAGAGAGGGGGAAATGATATTCAACAATATAATAACTTACCATGAACCTTGAGACCTTTCTTAATCCTAACAGCTGAAGTAATCACTGTCAACAGTCGGCTTAGATGAACTGATTGTTTGTTCAAGATTGATTTGTTTACCTCCTGATACAAGCAATTCCAGATAACACTTAATTCTTCTACTTTATAATCCTTGCATATTCTCTCCAAAGTTGAACTCACAACTTCCACTGTACTACCAGAACCTGCAACAAAATACGAGATCAGAAGGAAACAAGAATAGAAACCATGTAAAGCAGCTTCAGGATATAAATTCTCTATTCTAGTAAGTTGATTAACAACCTTTAAGAATTACAATAAATTTTTCACTCCAGCAAAATATAAAAACAGTTAACAAAGATTCTCACCGCCCCACTATAATTTAGCATCATTATTCGGAAGAAAGAAGTGCATTGGCTTTAAAAATATCCACCAAACTGTAGTCTTTTAAATTTAAAATTCTAACATCTCATTAGAAATAGGACTTGCCTTGAGGAAAATTATCACAAAAAGATAATGTAGAATCTTTCAGCAAGAACCTCAAAACCCTGCCAGCTTTTGAATGGAGTTTCGCATCGGTATTTCTCATAACATAATATAGTAAAGTAACTCCTCCAGTTCTTTTCGGTGGATCTGCAACTTCAGAAAGGATCCTCTTGATCCCTGAAACGTTCAGGAGAGAAGAATCAACTGGATTGTCCCTAAAATAGACATGACAAAAAGAAATGACAAGCAATTCATCACCTTTTTCAAGTTGCTTATCCGGTGCAGTCCTCAACAAAAATGACATCGAGGGTGACATCAACTCGATGATATAGTCTTTGGGGTAATACCTCAGCTCCAATGTAACCCTTCATCAGAGAAAAATTAACAAGATGAAGAAAACCCAATAATATTAATGTATTAGTCCTTAACAGAATAAAAGTACAATATAAACCATAGCATAAATGTATATGACCCAATAAGTAAAAGAAAAATTATGTGAAATCTTAAAACTGGCCAACAAGAATCAATCAACACTTTATTGAGCTAAGTCAAGCTGCTAGTAACAGATAACATTTTCGCTCTATCCAGAAAATCTAAAAGAAACCAAGATAATACAAGAAACTTCTCTACCACAACCGAATATTTGAGCAGTATCAATTCAATATACTTAAAACAAGAGAGCAAAATGGCATAAACTCTAACAGGTTTCGCTAATGACTTAGGTATAAACTTTTGTTCAGATTTACAGCAAGAAATTATATATTCTTGATTAGATTGGAATTTTGTACGTACTTCAGAATAGTTTTGATGTCGCATATGAAATACTTCTGCAGGTCTCTCACTATGTAAGACCATGATTCAAATATCTTCAAAGAAAAAGACCAAAAATTCAGCAAAAATAATATATAAGTTACGTTGTCCGGAGTGTAAAATATGTTATAGAAACAGCAACAACCTGCTCAATAATTTCTGGATCTTCCTGACCACCATTTTTCAGAAGAGTCACTAAGGAGTTAGCAAGACGTGAAAGGAAGCTAGACAAAACATAAACAAAGTAGAACATACACAAGAATTAACTGAACAAAGAAACTGCAAGTGAAGCTCGATTACTTGACCCTAAGATGAAAGTCAAAACACTCTGTACTAGTGACTCTTCTGGCTATATGATCAGTTTATGCAAATGCAAGAGAAGGAAGGGGGAAAACTTGTTTGGAACATTTTGTGAGCTATGCATAGCGGCCGGAAACTAAATCAGCTTCATGACTTCATCCACTAAGCTATACAAAAATATCATCACATTACTCTGTTTTCAGAGTATGCTACATACAATGTTTGGAATATTCTAACATTAGAAGAGTGCGGCAGAATCGACTATGACTAAGAGTTTCATCTGGAAGAGGGAAATTAGCGAGTTTTCAATCTCTTTGTACCTTAAGTTGCCATTGATATTTCATGATTCAACCATATAACTTATAGCAGATAACGAATCAAAGTTAAAACTAAAGACCATAACTAATTATCTTAAGAATCTTAACTTAAAACCAGCATAGTAGTAAGTAGGATACAACAGTACAAGACCACAAGAACACAAAAATTGAAACTTTAGAAAAGGAAAACTCTTAAGGAAACAAAATCAAACATACCCTCCATTCTACGAGGCAATCCTTATGTGGAACCTTTTGAAGGCTCAGACTTCACCTTATCCAAACTCCTAAATACTTTGACTTCAATGTCATTGATTCTCTCTTTCAAGCTCTTAAACTGCATCCAGAAGTCAAAGAAACCATAATTAGAAAACATAAACTAAGCCAAAAGATAAACCCAAAACCTCTTGTCAAATAGAGAACACGCACCTTATGTCTGTTCTTTCCCATGATTAGGGTTTCAACGATTTCTACAGCGATGTCTCCGTTTTTCCTAATACACCAATATCGAAAAATGTAAAATTTCAATTCCAAAACTTGACAATTTAGATCCAGAGTACACAATTTGCTTGATTTTAGGCTAAGACGCTGCAGAAACCTTTTGGGAAAGAAAAAAAAAATCCAAACTTGGAAACGAAATCAACACAGAGAAATGCGAAATCGATATGGGTTTGAAGAATCTCGCTTGCTTGAGATGATTCTGCGAGAGTCGAGAGAGATGAGAGACAGTGCCGCGTAGAGAATGAGAAGAGTATATATAGGTAGGTGTTGGGTTTTAGCGAGATTTTTTACTTGTAACAAATGTTTTAAAATCCATTTCCAAATAAGGTCAATCAGACCGGTAGATAACCATACTTAAACCGGTTTTACTATTTCTAACCAAGCCGAAACCAAAATAATTTTAGTAATGGTAACCGAATAAATTTTAATGTGTTGCTGTAACCCAAATCACCTAACGGTTTGGTTTGATATTTTCGGAAAAGTTTATTTTGTCCTCTCATACATTCCATCTATCTATCATCATAATGTTGAGTTAAACCACCATAACTCCATAAGAAAGACAAATTTCATGAAAACATTTGGAATTAACTAAAAAGAACTTAATAAAGATTTCAGGAATAATATAAAACCGCTGCATTATTTTGGCTGACAAATTTTTAGTGCAGAAGGCGTCAAGAAACAACACAAATTCATCGTTTGCTTTTAAGTTTATTTTTTTTGGTATAATCGTTTGCTTTTATGTTAGTTAAGGCTAATTCCGTTAACATCCTCTTAAGCGTTTGTATTCATTTATATTTCATCACATATAAGTAAACATTTTGGGCAGTAATTATACTCCAACACTAAATTTGTAAGAATTTACCACTAACACTTACCAAAAAAATAGAAACATGTACACTAAACAAATGTCACATGTTATGTATCTAATGCCAAACTAGATCATCACCCGTACTATAGTACGGGTTAAATTTTATTTATTACAAAATTTATATATTATATATTTTAGAATAAACTTGTGATATATTATAATAGTAATTAAAAAAATATAATTAGATTTTTGCCCGTCCCTGTATATAATATTAGAATGAATATATTTTCTTTTTTTAATTATACTCAATTATGGATATATTTTTTAAGATATGAAAACAGAAAATAAAATTATTTTAATAAATTAATATGGTCTGAACAATGAGTTAATTTATATTAACAACCACAAAATGAGATTGCATATAATTCAGTTAGATCAAAAATCAAAATATTATAAATGAATCGCTTCTGAAACGTAGATTATTTTTAATTAATTAAGAAAGTTAGCTATTATTTTGAGTTAATTTAGGAAATTCTTTTTTCAATTTCTAATTCTTTGGTTGTTGAAATAGAGATTTGTTTGAGGTAACTACGGAATTTACCAATTATTCGTGTAATCGAATATGTTATGAACATATATTTAGTATATAATATACCAAATTCAACCCGTGCATAGAGTCTATATTTTTATTTTAGAATCCTAATGAAAATATTGCGTGCACAATCTATTATTCGTTATTTCCAAAATTGCTTGCACAATCAAATTTTCAAATATTTTGTGATGTCAACGTTATTTAATTTATCTGATCATATAATCTTAACATGCCGTCTATTATAAGGATCATAATTTTATATCATATAATATATTACATTTAACCCTCCGCCTACTATAACTATTTTAAATATATCTTTTTTAGAAAATCAAATTAAAGTATTTATAATTTTTTTTATCTTTTTAATCTATAAATATTTATGATATTCATTAAAATATTAAATTAAACTATTTTTAAATGTTCCAAATTAAAATCTTTAAAAAATATTTCTTGTAGTATATAAAATTATGAATTTCAAAAAATAATTATATGAATTAAATAGAAATATTCAAACAGTTTTAAGGATCATAACTCATTTGTTGATATACTTATATAAGGAAGACAAAAGAGAAGGAGAACAAAAAGAAAAGCGATTGTATTTATATACTTAGATACTATGGGTTAAGTTTTAACTGCAGTTAGTTTTTCCGTTAGCAAAGTTAACAGTCGTTAACTCGGGGGTACAATTCTACTAATTTTTAAAAAACGAAGGTTTTAAAAGGCAACCGAAATTAAATTTGGTATTTTTATTCCAAATTTAATATTACGGGTATTAAACGGCCAAATAAAAATTAAATGACGGTTTTTTCGGGTTCTTTCCCATTTTGGTAAAAACTTAGCATAAGCTTTTATCTAACTGTCCTCTTCTATTTGTTTTTTTTTTTTTTGTTACAAAAGCATAATTGGTAAAATCTGTGAAAATGAAATTTAAAAGCTTTCTAAATATTAAAGACGATGAGGAATTTGTTTTATTAGAATGCAGATATTTGTATTAATGTAGTCCCAAATTTTGTTTTAAAAAAAAAATACAAAACATATTTAAATATTTAATTATAAACATTTTCATAAGATCTTATATAAATTTGGTACATCATAAAGGATTTACTTAAATTAGATAAAACATTTGTTATTAGAATTAGTTGGGTTCTTGTTTGGTTTGCTCTGTATTTTATGCTCTGTTCCTCTCTGTTTTTGCTTCTACGTTGAAGTTTTTGAGTGTTTCCCCTCTCACCCAAAAAATATCTACACGGCCCAAATCTCATGTGTACTTTGATAACCAGGAAATATTAAACCTCTAACATATATTCCACTACAAAAGAAATTATAAACTCTCTTTTAGTCTCTTCTTATACACCAAAATTTATTGTACACCTCAACATAGAAAGAATCATAGCATATTTGAAATTTCATGTTAATCAAAACGAAACTCAATTTTTTACAAAAGAAACCTAAAAACAGTCACTCGTCGTTAGAAGCTCTACAATCTTTTCCGTCTCTTCATGACCCTGAACAAGTGCAACACCTGCAAAAGATAACAAGGCAAATCAAACCAAAGAACTCAGAAAGTGCAACACACACACACACACACACACAAAGTGTCCCCTACCTCATTTTTGGACTTGTTTCCCTCTCTGAAGAACTGAGTTAACTACATGACTACCATCTCCCTGAAACAAACCCTGCACTGTTACTTAAACCGCAAGTTAACATACAGTAAACTTCAAAATGGTTTTCCTTAGGCCATCAAGATGGTTTTACCATTTAAGAATTCTATACCTTTGGCTTCCTGATAGAATTCATGTTAGCTGAAAGAAAGAGACTGAAACCAAGAAGCAGGCTCTGGTGATCTTTCAAGAGTTCATCCACCCTTGCAATGACACTAGCAGCATCGACTCTACAAAGAGACTAAGTAACATCAGAATCAAGTGACATGTGTGTTTGTTGGTTAGAATAAGAAAATGAAATATACATGGAGAAAAGAATTCATTCATACCTGCGAGCTTTAAAATTGTTCAAGAGCTTAAGAATTTCCTCATACTTTGCAGGTTCATCATGAAATGCTTCCTTCAGAGCAGCGATATATGAAGTCGCATCACCCATGGTAGGCTTCGGCGGCGGTAGCCTTTTTCCAACCACCTTTTGAAATTGGCCGGACTCTTTTCTAGCCACAGGAGGGATGGTTATCCAAAACTCAACGGGAAGGAAGGTATTTAAACCAAGAAGCAGATTGAAGTGATCATACAATAGTTCCTCCATTCTTGCAACGACAGTAGGTGTGTCGACTCTACACAGAGAACAACAACATCAAGATTCAGTTCTCACATGTCTTTGTTCTATACACTGTTTAAGAGTAAAGCAAACATACCTACGAGCTTCAAAATCCCTAAAAATGTTGAGAAACTCTTGAAATTTTGCAGGTTCATCATCCTGTAATGCGTCACTCACAGCAAGGAAGTACGAAACAGCATCATCAATAGTAAACTCTGGTAATAAGTTTCTTTCAACCATGGTGGTGTGAAATTGACCTGATCCATTGTCCAAAGATAGAGATTGATAAAAGAACGCTTTTTTTTAGGAGACCAAACAACACACACAAAGTCATCTTCTAATATACAAAATCCTGTAAATTTCATCGCAACACGATCCTTAATAATATCCAGAATCAAACCAAAAACTCGATTTTTTAACCTAATCGTCTGATAATTGTCGCATAAACGAAACGGGAATTAGAAACGAAGGAGAAGGTGATCGTAAACTCTAATCGTCCGGTTAAATCACATTTCAATTGACCGAAACAATTTATTAATTGAAAGAGGAACCAATTATGGTTACCGATTTTCAGCAGACCGAAGCGACAATGAACAAGAAGCTTGTCTTCGTCTTCTCCGCAGGACAAAAAGAAAAAAACTCAAGAGACTGATTTGAGTTTTGGTTAACGGTTCTATATTTGTAGTAGGGAATATATCAGATTTGACTTCATTTTTTCATTTTTTTTTTTTTTAATAATCCACTTTTGTTTGCATCTATATATTATCTCAGATATATACTTAGCATAAGCTTTTGTGTGAGTGTGTTTTTTAGTTACAAAAAGTATTGAGAAAATGAAATTTAAAAGCTTTCTATATATTATAGACGATGCGGATTTTTTTTACTATTAGAATGCAAATATTTGTACATATTAATTTAGTCCAATTTTTTTTTGTTTTAAAAAAGATATTACAAAAACATATTTAAACTAGATAGATTTAAAATTTTAGTTTTACAAAAATTCATAGTATCTTGTATTATTTTCGAGAAAAAAATGGGTAGAAAAACCCTCACTTTTTCTTAAAACATATGAAAAAAAAACATTAATTTTTAATGGATTTTTAAACCCTCATATTTTCATAAACGCTAAAATTAAACCCTAATTAATACTCAATTATGGATATATTTTTTAAGATATGAAAACAGAAAATAAAATTTTCGAGAAAAAAATGCTTTCTATATATTATAGACGACGATGAGGAATTTTTTTACTATTAGAATGCAAATATTTGTACATATTAATTTAGTCCAATTTTTTTTTGTTTTTAAAAAGATATTACAAAAACATATTTAAACTAGATATAGATTTAAAATTTTAATTTTACAAAAATTCATAGTATCTTGTATTATTTTCGAGAAAAAAATGGGTAGAAAAACCGTCACTTTTTCTTAAAACATATGAAAAAAAAACATTCATTTTTAATGGATTTTTAAACCCTCACATTTTCATAAACGCTAAAATAAAACCCTAATTAATAAACTCTACTAATCC